TAATGCAAGAGCGCACACGGCACGTGTTTCAACACAGTACTTAGCGAACAATAATGTGGCTCTTCCCATCTATCGCCAACTGAACATCTATGGGATTACCTGGGTCAACGCCTCTCACGTCGTCCGCAAGTACGGAACCTGAGAGAACTTGAAGATACACTACGTCAAGAGTGGAATGCTATCCCACAGAACACTATTCGCAGACTTATTCGATCAATGAAAAGACGTTGCATGGCCTGTGTTGCTGCCAATGGCGGACATACCAGATATTGACTTTTCATGTTAACCCTATGTGTCTTCCTCACACTGATGACGTAAATGTAATTACTGTGTGGTATTCCTGTTTCCTTTGTCGTCTTCCTTAATAATCCGTCCATGTCTGTTCTAATTACAATCGATCATTGCTAAAGTTGTTTTTGTAATATTTCAAGATTTATTGCTGGTGCGTTTTCAATGCTGTTCAGTATATATATATATATATATATATATATATATATATATATATATATATATATATATATATTATAGTGTATATATTAGTATATATTTATTTTTTTGATTTTTATTATGTATATGTATATATATATATATATTAGCCACATAAAGAAACTGTGCACGGAGAAAATATATTCTGGATTGAAATACAACACAGCAAGAACAAAATGATGCAGACGCTGTAGCAGCTGAATGATCGGACCATAAGAAAATGTCAACGGGACCTGAACAACATCTGTTACGATGACGTCAGAAAATCAAAATGGAGTAGGGGGTCAAACGACAAAGTCACAAAGTATGACCACCCTGTGCGTGAATCACAGCAGTGCATCGGCGACGCATGGAGTCCACCAAATGGGCATGGAAGGCCTGGGGAATGGCCTGCCATATCCTCCTCAAATCCTGTGCCAAGTCACGGACGTTATCTGAAGGATGTGGAAGACGACGCAGACGGCGCTCCATTTCATCCCACACATGCTCTATTGGGGAGAGATCTGGAGAAATTGCAGGCCATGGCAGTAACATGACATTGTTATGGTGAAGGAAATCCATTGCGACCCTAGCCGTGTGAGGACGAGCGTTGTCCTGTTGAAATGTCAATCCCGGGCCATGACGTTGCAGGAAAGGAATGACCACAGGCCTCAGAATCTGATCTCTGTAGCCAATCAGATGAGATTGCCCTGAACAACCACCAAAGGGGTTCGGTGCCGTGCTGTTATCCCACCCCAAATCATCACAGAGCCACCTCCAAAACGATTCCTCTTCACAATACAGTTGCGTGCATAACGTTCTCCCAAACGCCGGTAGACACGTTGGCGCACGTCACTGTGGGAAATGTTGAACCTCGATTCATCTGTAAAGACAACATTTCTCCACCATATTCGAGGTTGGCGAACATGATTTAGACACCATCTTAGACGGTTGACTCGATGACGGTGTGTCAGGATGGGACGTATGGCAGGGCGTCGTGGTCGAATCCCGAACTGACGTAAACGATTCCTGACAGTGTTGGGATGGATACGGCGCAGTCCAGGAATTGTCTGGGACGTCGTTACTGCCGTTTGGAACCTGTGTCGGAGATGTGTAACTCGAATCCATCTGTCCTGTATTGGCGTCGTTACTCGGGGACGTCCTGAACGTGGGTGGTCGGCAACGTCATTTGTGTTCTGATAACGCTTCGCCAATGCTGATATCGTGTTACGATGGCATTGGAAATGTGTTGCCACCTGTTGTTGCCTCATTCCCGCTCGGATCATTCCAATGGCTTCATGACGCTGTGCAGCTGTCAATCTTGGCATGATTTGCTTGTGATATGCTTGTGTCTGCGCCTGAGAGGTTTTGAATTTTTGAATGACCACAGATCATGCTTTCCAAAGTGACAGCGAATTTTGAGTTGCACATGCTGTGTACAGCTGCACAGAATGCACGTGCAGTAACACATTGCAAGTCCATTAGGCCCCCATCAATGACGTCATATAGCGTTTGAATGTCTCCAATAATTGCTGTGTTCAAACCTATATTTCATATATGGACGGTGTGCCCTTATATCTCTATTTTCTCCGTGCACAGTTTCTTTATGTGGCTAGTATATATATTATTTATTATTATTTCACAATGAATACACATGTATTTTAATGTGTATTATTTCAATTTTTTTAACCATGACCGCTTGTGCACGTGACACAAAAATGAACATCTCTCTTTCTCTCTGTTATCTCTCTCGTCTATTTAGTGATGGATTCTTACGTGACTGATTCACCAAGACGGGTTTCAATGTTTGCTCAGGCAACATATTTGAGACTCCAGGTCGCATAGGTCACAGCTCTTTCTCTCTCACTCGCCACGTCAATTAACCCACGTCGACGGATTTTGTGGTCGCGGATGGATTTTGTGGTCGCGGATGGATTTTGTGGTCGCGGAGGGATTTTAAAGCTAGCAAATATCTACTTAAGGTAACACCCGCACTGTCCATTCTGAGCTCACGTCAAGTGATAACATTTGCTCAAAAAACATTGAGTTATATCAAATTTGTATGTGACCATAAGATCCGGGGTAGAATAGGTCTTCAGCAACCCATGCTTGCCGTAAAAGACGACTATGCTTGTCGTAAGAGGTGACTAACGGGATCGGGTGGTCATGCTCGCTGACTTGGTTGGTGCATGTCATCGATCCCAATTGCGCGGAGCAATACAGACTTACATTTGAACGACATGTCTTTTCGGGATGGTAGATGAACGACCTCATTACACATGGAAGGATTTAAGATTGAACAGATTTTAACGTGAAACATTACTGATGCCAAACAGATAATCTATAGTCATAGTGAGCGATATTGTTTCGATGTGTGACATTTGTCACACCTGGAAGTGACTTCAGGTTTAGCACGTTTTCGGTTATCCCTCTGGTTGTCTACAGCTTCTCATTTATCCTCTGTGAGGTACGTCAGGTGAGAAAATGAGCCTGGCGACCTCAAGGCGATCAGGTCACGCCTTCGAACTGACCGACACATGTTAGGAATTCAATATGGTGAGGAGAAATTGAGGAGAGTGAGACGGGATACGTATTATATACTACTGGCATGGTCTACTGGACAATCCATTTTCTTTTTCTTTTTTAAATAATGTACTGTTTAAACCAAATTATATAATCATTGACATCTTCAGTTCGCGGCGAGGTCACGATGACATCATCACGTACGCAGAAATGACCTCTCGCTAATCTCTGTGCTGCTTTAAAAGCCGTTGGGGATCGCATACATTCACGTAAGAATGACACATATTACGGCTGTTTTATTGTTGCTACGTATCACGTTTAGGAAAACAACAGATATTAACTGCCGGGCGAAAGCATATACATTTGAAAATTTGATTTGATTTGTTTGTTTGTCATTTAACTCAGCAATATTCCAGCTATATGACGGCGGTCTGTAAATAATAGAGTGTGGACCAGACAATCCGGTGCCTGATATCATGTATATCGATCCACGCAATGGGATACGATGATTCATCAACCAAGTTAAATAATTAGTAACACCCGTAAATGTAAAGACATAATGCATATCGACATTGTAAATGAGTTATCATAATTACCCCGCAGCTCTCAACATGATTTGTTTGTTTTGTTTATTTGTTGTTTAACGCCACACTCAGCAATATTCCAACTATATATGACGGCGGTCTGTAAATAATCGAGTCTGGACCAGACAATCCAGTGATTGACATCATGAGCATCGATCCACGCAATTGGTATACGATGACATGCTTCAACCAAGTCAGCAAGCCAGACCACCCGATCCCGGTAGTTGCCTCTTACGACAAGCATAGTCGCCTTTTACGCCAAAACATGGGTTGCTGAAGACCTATTCTACCCGGGATTCTCTTAAAGAGTCAATTGGACTTGAACAACACATTACAAATATTACGAGGTTGAAAACAGCCGCCTGTTGTGAGATACTCATGGTTGGTTAGTTGGTTGGCTGGTTTGTTGTTTAACGCCGCACTCAGCAATATTCCAGCTATATGACGGCGGTCTGTAAATAATCGAGTCTGGACCAGACAATCCAGTGATTGATATCATGAGCATCGATCCACGCAATTGGAATCGATGACACGCATCAACCAAGTCAGCTAACCTGACCACCCGATCGCCTTTTACGACAAGCATAGTCACCTTTTACGGCAAGCATTGGTTGCTGAAGACCTATTCTACCCCGGAATTTTCACGGGAAAGATACTCATGGACATGATTCATGTAATACCACCTGTTTATCAGGAGAAGTAGAGGATGAATACCATGTCTTACTTATATTATACGTGAAACGAATTCCCATTTAAGGCATAAATTTCTCCCTATGTTGCAAGATATTTTTAAAGACCGTCAGTTAATGTTAAATCTGCTAAACGCTGAAAATCCTGACATGATACAAGTTGTTTCTGTATTTTTAAAACATGTCCTTATAAAGAGGAATATGTAACTTGATTTAAAATCTAATCATGTACATCACGTGACAAATGTTAATATCCAGTCTGCAGTGTACTATGGGCCTTGACGTCTAAATTTCCGAATAAACTGTCTGTCTTTCTGTCTAATATCCCCGTATCAAATACGGGTTTCATTTTTAATCACCATCAAACAAACATGTTTTACCTGTCAGTGCGACATTTGCATGGGTGTGAGTGGCAGATTAAATCGTGACAACAGCGGGGAGATATGAAAACGGATCTGTGACGTGTACTTTAAGGAATGTCTTCATTAAATGAACATTACTTCATAACAATGATGTTAATCCATTAATTGGTTATTCCGATCCATTATACTCGAAAACGTATACCGGATTGGGGAGCCGGGGGGGGGGGGGGGGGGGGGGGGGGGTTGCCCCCCTAGATTTTGTATAGAAAACAGTTTTATTTGAAACAAGTTGGGGACAAGTGATACTTATACAAATATTTGCCCCCCTGCCAAAATAAGTTAACTACGGCCTTGATTTCACTGTAGTTAATACTCACAATGTTAACGCTGACGGTAGGACGATGCCCTTCCTGTACATGTAGTCGTGACCTAGTTTCACACGTTGTACCGGGAACAAGTGTTGCCTCTCTTGGTCCTGAATGCGACTTGGTGTCCTGTATTCATACAAACAACAGGTTTTCCAGTGATAACCTGACTGCACAATACCTGTCCATTAATCACGTGGTTTAGCTGTATATGGTCTGCCCTTATCAATCCGATCGAAGGAGTTGGGGTTGATACCTTATGCTTTTTCTCTGCTGGGTATATTCCGGTGATTTATGGTCTATCAGCAACATATCTGTGCTTCTGGGTTATGAGTTATGCACCTAGAATCTGAGCACCTGGGACTTCGACCCCCGCCCATGTTATACTGATAAGCTGGGTTAGAATGCGGCGAGGAGGTTGTTAAAACAGCGCCATGACCAACGCAGTTTGTGCTCCCACATATCACGTCCTTCACCCTGTGCTAAATGATGCGGAAATACTCACAGACGGTTTGTTGGGGTCTTCCCACGCAGGCGGTTTATTTTTATGTATTAGCAGGAAGATGAATCGCGCCGCCCTTTGATGTTTCTTGTCGAACTTGTGTTATTTAATGGGTTATGATAATGAGGAAATATATAGATAAATAAGGTATAGAATGAAAATGAAATCATATTGAGCGCAATTTTATTTGTTTCATAAAATGTTATATGCACAAAAACTTCATAAAACATAATGAATGAAGTCTTTGAATGGCATTTAAAAGTGATACTCATAAGGTAGAGCATTTATCAATGTCAACGGGATTGCCTCAACAGCCGGGCCAGTCCGGACCAACGTTAGTATTGACTAAAAACTCCATAACCGACGACCATTCCTACATGTAAATACTGCGACATACACACATGACATTAATGAACAATCTCAAGCTACAAACGTGCAACATTATTAAGCTGTGGGGAGTAAATCGCTTGAAAATAAGGAAGTCGAGCGGTCGGTAAGCGTGGCTGAGCTAGCCTACATAGAGCAAGGGTCCACAACGTTTTATTGTGAGCTTCACTAGGTGTTTTGTGCTCAGCACCCAGATTTCAAATGGGTTACTCACCCATGACGTGTTTGCCTGAGTGAGCGGGGAGGGGTGTTGGGGTGTGCTTTTAAACCGAGATGCATGGGTTGTGTCGGTATTTCGCTGACCTTTCTAAAGGTTCTTTTTGAATGTTATGCAGTGCATCCCGCATCCCCAGCGCACACGACCCGTGGAGATTGTCATAGGACCCGTGAAGATCCGGGGTAGAATAGGTCTTCAGCAACCCATGCTTGCCGTAAAAGGCGACTATGCTTGTCGTAAAAGGCGACTAACGGGATCGGGTGGTCAGGCTCGCTGACTTGGTTGATGCATATCATCGATCCCAATTGCATGGATCGATGCTCATGATATTAATCACTGGATTGTCTGGTCCAGACTCGATTATTTACAGACCGCCGTCATATAGCTGGACTATTGCTGAGGGCCATTGGGATGCAACTGCGCATGAACGGAAGCGACATATACGTAAAAAAACGGATATGCACAATATACATGCACAGAAATTGATTTGAGGAATGTATGGGAGGTGGATATTGACATAAGTGTAGTTATGCACTACTTGGAAATAAGAAACAATGACAAAACGAAATATGAAATTGAGGCGTCATGAAATTTAAAGTCATTGATTGATTACAAGAAATACACAATTACTTGAGACCATATAAAAGGGACCGATCTGGGAATAATCATTCCCACACAACACAGCAACATGGAATGCGGGTGCAAGAATCATAGTGATTTTTCACATGGAAAGAACTTTAAGGTACTAAAACTATCTTGGGAAAAAAATACCCAAATTCATTGTGAAGAAATTAATTGAAAAAAATTGTTGACAGAAAAACAAAATCTGCTTTGCACTGCCTGTGCTGATTATTGCCGTGATAATATACTCAATGAATATTCACAAAGTGTCACAACCATCATCGACGAAATAAACAACGGCAAATGTACTCTGGACGAACAAGCAGCCATTGCATCAGCGTTAGGCAATGGTCAACATGATGCAATGCAAAAGGAAGCACGTGGCATGGTATGTTTATCACTTGACGATTTTATGAACAATGACGCCCAAAAATGGCTGAATGACAGAAACCCAATATTTATTGCATTCCTAAGTGGATTATGCAACCTTCAGGAAGGCGATTGCAACAAAAAAAAGCATTGTCAATGATACTCTGTGTTGAACAGTTATTGTTATGCTGTTGTTTGTCAGTTGTTGCTCCCCTTTCGTTCATGACAAATGTATTTACCTATCTCTGTACTGGCAGCAAAAATGCATGTCAGTTAAATTCAAAATCATCCCCATCAGGCTCATACACCACCATTTGCAACTGGCTAAATGATCAAGCAGCTGCTCCCATAAATTGCCCCACTGTTTATGATCTCATAACATTTTCAGCCATCGTAAAGGTAAGGGCAAGGGTAAAGCTAGTGCCAAAGTTAACAAAAACGTTACAGACAGTAAACATGCTTCATCATCCACACAACATTACACTGCTGTGTCATGTGGAAGCGGTGCCAGTGTAAAATGAGAAACAAATATGACAGCCGTACTAATGTTCAAACCTAAAATTGATGTTGGTAATCCTGTTATGGTGAACCCATGTTCTTACAAAGCAGTTAAGGAGGTCATGGGTTCCATCCAAAAACGTCGGTCGGGTAGCCTATTGGTTAAAGCGTTCGCCCGTCACGCCGAAGACCCGGGTTCGATTCCCGACATGGGTACATTGTGTGAAGCCCATTTCTGGTGTCCCCCGCCGTGATATTGCTGGAATATTGCTAAAATCGGCGTAAAAACCATACTCACTCACTCACTCACTCCATCCAAAAACAAACATTAGACGAGACTCCTCGTTGTTGGACAGTGATTGGTTGTGACGGTCTTCCATACAACCTTGCTTCCAGATTAGTGACGTCAGAGTTCACATGCGACATATGTGAAGAATCACTATCTGGAAGTGAGGCTTGTGTGGAGCATCTGAAAGCATGTAACAAACCTCAGAAGCTTTGGTAATCTACTCCTCGTCCCTGTACCTGGTCATAAAGAAATGAACAGGGTAAAGGGGTAGTTACAAATATTGTGGGAAGTATTATTGAAGGACATGGCCCATATAATGCATTTCAGATCCCCCAAAGCAATGGCCTCCTGTAAAAATGTCTCTGACCATCACAAGTCGTGGCAAATGGTTGAAATACTGTTAAGTATAATGTGTGGCAAGAAACCTGACTATCATTCCTTTACGGAATGGGTCAATTCTATCACCAACCCAAATGTCAGGTTTCTCAGACATCATTTTCACACACGTTTTCGCCCTTTATATTTACCGTGTTGCTAGTCGTAGGGGCGATTCACGTTTGGCAAGGGATGCTTACCTGAAATACAGCGAACTGTTCTTTGGCCTGAACATGTATAATTATCAGGAGCTTACCATTCGTGAGCTGCACATGTACGTCAATGCGCCTGATGCTGTGAAAGACTTTATAGACAAAACAAACACAATGTCTAAATCAGGCCATGATAGCAAGGGAGAGGGAGGTGACTTCATTTTGGAGAACTACAACAGAAAGATCAAGATGTGGATGCCTCCTGGCCTCCCTACAACTCAAAAGTGGGAGACCATCTGTCGCAATCTCGACAATTTGGAACAGGTACATAAACCAGTGAACATTCGTACAAATACATCATTTACAGTTAATAATGGTATGTGAATTTTCAACAATCGTTCATCCTTCACTCACAAATGCCACTATATGTTTATAAGGTGTAGCCATACTGTTTTCCCATTCGCTCATACAAGTATAAGAAACGGCAAGCAAATCTTCATGAAAAAATAATTTGGTGTATTTTGGCGATAAAACCACATATGCGTTTTAAATATTATTATTATGAGCAATCTGATTTAATGCCTCCGATGTAATAATTGAGCATGCACAATAAGTAAATACTAATATATTTATAATTGTCAGACTACTGATGTATGTTATACCATTTTCAGGCAAGATCACACCTGATGGATGTAATTGGTGCTGACTTGGCCGAGGACAATAACGGATATGAGGTCTGTATAGACAGTGAGATAGGACAATGGCGCACCGATATCCGCGCATCTCAATATGTGGCTTATCCCCATGCACAACTTCCACATGTCTCACTGTCTAACAGATCTTTGGATGCAGGGCTCGTGCATAACGCCAGCACATGCAGATCCAATAGGGATGAGTACTTCCGTCAACTGGACAGTGGCATCCAGTTAGGGAAAGTCCCACAAACTCCACCCCGTTTTCGTTCTGCCAGGGGATAGGGATCAGCATAACGCTCTATCAAACAAGACGTAAACCGAACTTTCTGACTTAATTTCCTCTGCTCACAACCGTTTACGCTCACTGGGTGCTACTGCAATAGCAGATGCCAAATGCCACCTGTTTGAGCAAGATATCAGACTCGGAACAAAGCTGATGTATTTAACACATCTGTCTGATGTTGAAGAAACTATCCTGGACGTTCTAGAAACAATTGAAGCTGGTGAATCTGGTGAGATTTTATACTTTTTAATCATGCTTTAATATTACTATTATTTACTTTGTTGGCAAGGCCTATACGTGTAATATAAAATAATTACATCTTTTTGTGTTACTTGTCGATAATTAGAATATGTTGCAAAAAGGATATAACATGTATGATTTATTGCAATAATGTTATTTCATCATCAGGTTTGACCGCTTCAGATGACACACCCATCGACTAGAGGTAATCCCTTTTTTTAATGGATGTTTTAGGGTATAAGTGTTTTATTATTTACGTTATTGGAACAATCGTATGTAACCAAACAGTGTGTGTAAATGTATAAACACAAACAACGTATATACTCCTATGACAGTAATTGGTAATATTGACGATTCCAATGTTACATTAAAAGTGAAGTATACACAACAAACACAGATAATGTTTTATAATATTTATTGATGTCGTGCACAGTAAAAAGGGATTTTTTTAATTATATTTGATTGTTTTTTGTTTACTTTAAATCCTATGCACGACAGGTGCACCCAGTAGTGACAATCTTCATTATTGCAACCCACCCACATTCCCTTATCTTCATCCTCTGTTGTTCCATATTGCACACCGCATATTGAGCAGTGGTTTTCATCACTCTCCTTGAAGGTTGATTCGTCAGTTTGTGTCCCTTGGCAATGTACCATTTCTTTTCCGGGGGATGGGAACGTTACGTCTGTGCTTGAAGTGGACGGCTGGGGCTCCTTATTTGTCTTTTCCTTGCATGTATTCTAAAATATTGGCAATCGGTCAATGTATGTCATATTCATTTAACATATATCATTGTATATCTATTTCACTTCGTCACTTCAAGCATATGTTACTTAACAGTTATCGCAATCAACGTTTATGGCAATGGCATTCCTGTTTCTATTTACTTTAAACTTTATTCATACAGATTCATTATGTACATAATGTTCAACTTTCAAACCTTGTAAGATTTCACCATACCTTCTGTTCCCCAGTAACAGTGCCGTTCCGTCTTTGTCTTGACTTCTATATAAACTTGGGAGCCAGTAATTATGGACAGTTCCCTACCCTGTGGAAGGTGATTCATGTTATAGTATTCTATGTTATGTCATTTATCAGCACAATTCCTTATTATTTATGTTTTTGTCCCCCGCCGCGCGAAAGCGCGAAGCGGGGTATATAGTATCACGACCGTCCGTACGTACGTCCGTACGTCTGTACGTCCCACCTGTTTGTTGCCGCGATATCTCAAGAACTAAACACTGGATT